AGCTTTGGCTGCTGGCTCTGCCATGCTGGCTTTCCAATATGGCTGAGGTACTTTCACCACCAGCTCTGGGAGCCATGCTCACCTCCCCAACTCTGGGAAGCAGCGGGTCCACACAGCCACCAAATAACTTGCAGCTCACTGCCCACAAATCCCATTTAAGTGTTCTGTAGCAGGATCTCCCAAAAGAGCCATCTGTGCTTCCAGCACGAACCAGGAAGCTGTCTCTTAAAGGAGCCATGCATCTGCTCTCTACCAGCAAACAGAGCCTATCTGAAAAAAATGAGGCTACCAAGAAACCATTTCTGACTTTGTTTTTGTATGTCTGGAATCCTTTTTTCCCTCTTTTCTTTTTCTTTTTTTAACTTTCTCAGGCTTTATGTGGATGTATATGCCCCAGTTGGTGTTATATGTAACTGGAGGTTTCTCTCCTGCTTACCAGTTACCAAATAACCACTCTGAAGCTTAATTTTAATTACAGACTGTTTGGCCTGTTAGCTCAGGCTTATTATTAACTAGCTCTTATAAATAAATCAACCATTTCTATTAGTATATATTTTACCATGAGGCTCATGTCTTGTTACCTCACATCTTGCTTCCCCTGTGGCTGCTGGCATCTCCCTGATTCTGCCTTCTTCTTCCCTGTATCTTTGCTTGGATTTTCTGTCTGATTCTATTCTGCCTTGCCATTGGCCAAATCAGCTTCTTTATTGACCAATGGCAATAAAACAGATTCACAGCATACAGAAGGGCATTCCACATCGGGTTTCATCTGACTACATAACCACTATTGATGTCCTGCCAGCTACCAAGTAGAACAGGAGTGCCCGTGACTCAGGATATTTTATCAGTCAGTGCCATGAAAGACTTTGTTTTCATGCCTATTTGACCTGTGTCTTTGACCCTTGCAGTTGAGGTTACTGCTCCCTGTCAGATAATGGTGCTTCGAAGAGCCACATTGTACTTGTTCCACTTTTGAGGGTCAAGGAAAACATTCCAGAATTCAGAGATTGCTATTTCGTTGGTTTGTTTTGCACAAAACTAAGGTTAGGTGTTTGTGTTAGTTGGAATTATATTTTATTTCATTTTCTCTTATAATAGTCATAAATACCAATTTTGTAAAATGATGATTGCATTTGTTGTGGTGACCCTCTCCCTCTCTTTCTTTCTGTCTCCCTTCTTCCCTGTCTCTATTTCTCTCTGCTCTCCCATACTTCCCAACCCCCCCCCTACTCCTGCTTCTTTCATGGGTAGGTCCAGTCTGCTGGAAATGTTCAGTCCACTTCTTTCTCTCTCTGCTCTGGACTATTCCCAATGCCTCTAACTATTCTCTCTCTCTCTCTCTCTCTCTCTCTCTCTCTCTCTCTCTATCTCTCTCTCTCTCTTATATGTACAATAAAAGTCTTCTCCTTCACCATCCCATGAGTGGTCATGTTGCCAGTTTATACACTACCTCTTACACATCTCTGAATCTTGTGAGGGTGGGTCATTTTGTGCCCAGAAGTCAGTGTCATAATTTTGAGATTGATCCATATTGTTTGTGTATCAAAAGTTTGGCCCTCCTTATTGCAGATGGAGCCACCTGTTTGAATACTACACCCTTTCTCCTCCATCTTATAAAGACACTGGGGCTGCTTTCCTCCATCACTCTTTATCTGCAAAACAAAAGCTGGTACACTAACACCCCTGAAAAATATCCCAGCAGATCTCTGTATCTGAATTGACTTGGAAAAAACATCCAATTGAAGTGCAGCTATATGTACTCAAATGTTAGGAAATTAGTGGATATTATTAGGATTCTTGTTAAAGAGAAAGTTCACTGCATGAGGCATTTTGGTTATTTTTCACTATTTGTGACTGACATCATTAACTCATTCAGGCTTTATTCAATGACGTTGTTCTTCTTTACTATTGCTGTGGAAACTTCTCTAATGAGAACAACTTTATTGTTCATTGTGGCAAGGAAGACACAATAGCCATACTCCTTCCATCCCTCCCTCCATGCATCAAGTATCATAATTTGGGAATATCTCAAATTGAATTCCAAGTATATGTCTTCTTAAATAGTTAGTGATGCCTGTCATTATCTTTAAGTTTTACAGTTCCTTTTTCATATAAAAAAATCACACAGAACAAAATTTACACAGCTTTATGTTGGAGAAATTCATATTACCAGCAGAACTCAAGACCATTCAGCATCTACCCTAGCAGAGTACCACACAAGTGGCATGGTGTGCCCTCTTCCTGTCATCATGGGATGATCTTTCTCATCATGACCTGCACTGCATGTGCCCTGGAGTCTGCCTTATTCTGTTCTGCACTGTGGTTATGCAGTCACATTTCCTAGCGGAACAGTGGCCATTCTTTTCCACTTCTTGCCCAGTGAATGAGCATCCCTGCTGAGTCTGCAGTCTTGAAAATCATTTAGAGTCAATGTGCTGAGTTTGAGGGTTCATGCAGACAAGTCAAGAGCAACCAGTGAAGGGTTTGTCTGAGTCACTGGGAACTTATGCAGGGGAATTGTCTTCATTTATCACTTCAGAGTCTCAAAAATTGACATTATGAAGCTTAGAAAACCCATACTGATCACCTTTTTATCTCTCCTTCAGCCTTCTTTAAGGGCTAAGATGTGAGGATGTCATTATTTTGGAACAAGGTAAAGCCTTGTGTGTATTTTGAATGTTTACTGATATTTAAAATGACTAAAATCACCAAGTCTAGAAGAAAAAATGTGACTCAGAGCAATTGTTACACAGTGTTGGATCCAAGAGCAGGTAAGCAGGTAGGCCATGGTGAGCTTGGAATTGCACTTCACTCAGGCACCTCCACAAACAAGGCTAATAATGCCCTAGCCATTTGAGAAACAAGAGACTGAAGGTGTCTCTTTCTTGGAGCACAGGCATTCATTGGAGCTGCCCAAGGGGTGGCTTCCTCTCAGAGGCTGATGCAGATCTGTGAAAGATGACTTTTTTTTGTAGCTGATATGTTCTAAGTATCTTAAGGCTTCTTATTATTTGGAATAATGTCATACTGGTGATCCATATTTTCTTTAACTTTTTTAACCTGGATCTGATTTTGTTGGTGTTCCTAAGAAGTCTGTCATTGTTGCCCTGTTGAAAATTTCTATCTTGTCCATTTTCTTAGGAATAATTCTTGCTGGGACCATACTTTAGCATGTTATAATTGTAAATTTAAAATGTATGCAGAGCTTGTTTTTTTTTTGACCCATTTGCAAGCACTGTTTCCTGGCTTAGTACCCTCTCTAAATTTAAAATGTATGCAGAGCTTGTTTTTTTTTTTTTTTTGACCCATTTGCAAGCACTGTTTCCTGGCTTAGTACCCTCTCTATCATCTTCATTCCCATGGCATAGAAGAAGAAGCAGGCTCAGGGACAGGAATTGTAGCTATGCAGAAAATGGCTCAGAGACACTTATGCCTATGGTGTGGGGGAGTCTTGTAAGGAAGAGGACTAGGAAAGACGCTCTGCTTATAGCCAAGATTCAATGGCTGGACACTGACCTGAATGCAAGGCTAAGCCAGTGTCCTTGTTTGCAGCCCAGTCCCTCTGTTTGTCACTTGTGTGGTTAGTCATTACTATAATGACAATTATATCATCTAATAATTCTGACAGGTTATAGGTAATAGAGAGCACCATTATATTCCTAAGTAGGGCCCTGGGGGCACATTTTTATCTTGGCTTATAAATCTGAACCAAAAACTACACCTCTCACTGTACTCCTACCACATGTCCCTGCCCACAAGGCCACCCTAATTAGACACTCTATCGGGATCCAGCTGTAACCCTACAGAATACCTTGCAAAAGGGTCAATGTCCAGCACTGTATTTAGAATCCAGATGACACCACTTTTAGTAAGAGTCTAAAGGCACCATGTCACACAAGAAATCATGGGGCTGTGGAGGTGTCCCCAAGTAAGGCTGGGGTTGCTGTGTGTTCTGCTTGGCTCTGTGCTTGCTGAATTGTTCATTCCTGTGAGTGTGTGTATCTACCCAAGAATCAGGCAGATGTTGAAGGGAATCTCTCAATATTGACTCCCCTTTAAGGTAAGATAAAAGAAGAAAATATATTCTTTCCCGAAACCTCCCCTGACTAAGGACATTTCTGCTTATGCTCTTCTTAACCTGTAGTTATACCAGATGGTTCTACCACAGACCTCAAGGTCTTAAGTGACAGAGAATTCACAGAACTCAAAACCAGTGGGGAAACCGGCTTTGGGTCCCTAGAGGACTGATAGTGAGAAAAGAGGGACTATCTGTAGAGGGATCTTGACTGGAGTCCTGGGTCATGGCAGTGAGTGGGATGCCTGGGGGATCGTGTTCTTGTTCTTGGGGGAAGGGATACATATGGTTCTCTGAGATGAAAGCTTGGGATTAAGGCTCTGAGGTCCCTGGGCAGGGATAGAGAATACCTACATGATTCCTGGGTTCCTGGAAGCTGGGCTTCTCACTCACTCATAGTAAATTTAAGTTAGGAAACAGCAGCAGAAGCAGCATTGCTTGGGACTAGAGCAAAAAAGATACTGGACTCATCCAAAGTAGGAGGGACAGGATGGTTTGGCTGGTAAGTGTTGCCACCAAGCTGAAGCTGAGCTCAGTGGACTTCCTTCTGGCCTGGGTCTCCTCTCTGTACCTCCATGTTCTGGCTGTTGAATGCATGTTCAGGCTCCTGTAGAAGCTGCTGTCAAAAGGGAAAGTCTAACCTTGGGGTGTCTCAGATTGACAAGTAGGGAAGACTATGGAGGGGAGGTATCCATCCATAGAATGAGTGACCACACAGGGTGCTCTTCAGGTTAGTATTTTAATGCCCACAAAACCAGTTTGAGAGTTCATTGTGGCCATCTAAAGGACAAACGACTTCGAGGAAGGGTGGCAACTGAATTTGAAAACATAAGCTTTCCTCTTCCAAACTTACCCTTGCTACTCCCACCCCCAAAAGCCAAAGATTTGTGTCAGGTCACAGGGATGATGATCTTGGGTTGGTTGCTCATCTCTGACTGAACTCCTTCATTCGAAGTTCCTTCCTTCTGATTTTGCCTGTGACGGTTTTGGGCAGTTCTGTAACAAACTCCACCTGGTAGAGAAGAAAGTCATCTTAACTAAGGGCTGCTATGGTTTCCTTCCAGTTCCCACGCCCTGCTTCCCTCCACAGGCTGACACCTGAGGTGACCTTCATGGGCTCCACTGATTCCTGAAGGAGGGTATAGTCATGTAACTTGTTTTGCCCCATGAATTGTGAGTGAAACTGGAACATGTCCTCTCCAGGCAGAGGAGTTTGGAGCCAGCCACTAATATCTTTTGTCTTTTATGGGATAAGACAGGAGCCTCTGTGGCCTCCCCATTCCAGGATGAGGGATGTGGGGCAGAGGTTATAGAAGAGCCATGACAGACGTGAACAAGAGACCTTCAGCGCTATCAACCTCCATAGCATGGGGGCAGTGTGCTATAGTTAGATGTAACCCTCTCTAGTAGGAAGTAAGGTCTTCTGACCCCTGTAAGAGAGCCTTGACTAATGAAGAAGGCTGGTTTTGCTATCACACATACTTTTGAGTTTCAGCACTCTTACTGAGTGCAACCTCAGGCAACTTGAACCTCAGCTTCGTCTCTATAAAACATGAGTACATGCTCTTGGACTGTGGAAAGGCTTGACTAACAGTGCACTGGGGCCAGAGCCAGGCACACACAGTAAGCATTCTGGTACATGATACATGTTAGCCCTGCAGCTGCCTGACATGTATGCCTTTATGAACATGAGATGGTGCAGGCATGCATGACAGCAGAAGAAAACAATGACTTTCTGACAGGCAAGTCTCTTATTTTAAACCAGTAGGGCAATACTAAGCATTTCCTTTCATACTCTGCCTTTTCTCTCAATATACAAGCAAGGCATTTTGTGCCAAAAGGAAAATAATCTGAAACTGGACATGATGGTAAATGCCTGTGATCCTGACACTCAGAAAGCTGAGGCAGGAGGGTTGTGAGATTGAGGCCATTCTGGCTATGTAATGAGTTTTAGACCAGCCTGGGTTACACAAAGAGACACTGTCTCTAAAAATAATTAAAAAAGACAAAAACATAATATAGCAGAATGTGATATGAAACAAAATAAAAAAAACTTTACCACCTGCTTAAATTACAGGACAATTTTCAATTTTGTGACTAAATCATTTCAGTATTATTGGATATATTTTGCATGCTGCACATGGCCCTTGAAACAAATGTAACAAAATAATATTATATGTTCTAAGAATAAATATTTTGTTTCCTTTATATATATATATATATATATATATATATATATATGTTTTTGGTGTTGAAATATCTGAAATATAGGGTTTATTTCTTACTATGAATCACATTAAAAACCCTGAAAAGTATCAAGTTTGATTTCTTCTTAAATTTTACAGGATAATAAGTAACATTAAAAATACATTTTTGGGTACTTTCCTGGTCTTTTTCTTTTGGTTAATGTGCATCAGTGAGTTCATTACTGGCACAGGGTAGAGATTCCCCAAGAAACAAAACCTCTTGGCTGACTGAACTGTCCCCCACCCTACCATGGCTGCCCTTTGAGAGGTGAAGTAGCCAGCTGGAGCTGAGAAACTGTTGAAGTCACTGGCTGGGGCTATCCAGCTGGGTTCACCTTCCTGGGGGACATCACCTTCCTGGGGTACTTGTATGGTGCTGTCACTGACTTCACATGCTGCTGTAGCTCTTTGGTAAGCTGTTCCTGATCATGTGACAGGAACTCTGGGGTCAGGACAATAAACGCCTTCACCACCTGCAGAATGGGAGTGGAGGTTCAGATGCTTGCCAACTCACAGAGCTTGCTAAACAATGTTTATTGAATGGACAAATTCATGTTAGGCTTGAGTTGATGTTTGAGACTAGGTTACGTGGAAATGGAGAGGGCCAGGTTCAAATCTGTGTCCTTCCTATTTCCACTGCATGCCTTGGAAAAAAAAAATACCTGGCCTCTCCTCACCTTAACTTCCTTCTCTGTGAGTAGGTACAATAGGAGTTCATTCCTCTAAGGGTTTTGTAAAAATTCCATGAGAACACAGAGTATGTATGAAACACATGACCTGTATGAATTTGTTATTACTACCATCACCATTATTAATATCAAATATGTATTTACTGTGTACACCCTCCTTTGTCTGGAACTCAATGGGCAATAATAATTATAATAATAAATCAAAACAGCAATGATTGTTATTAACAATGTTTGATAATTTATTTTACACTATTAGTTATATCCCCACTTACTTGCACAAGTCCTGGTACACAGAAGTGTCCAATAGACATTGTTGAGCTAATGAACACATGCTCTGGAGCTTGCATTTGCACACACACACACACATACACACACACACACATACACACACACACACCTGTGTGTGTGTGTGTGTGTTATTGTAACTTCTCTGCAGTGATGGACTGTTACAAGTAACTGTAAGCTAAAATAAACCCTTTCTTCCCTTGGATTTTTGGTCAGGTTATTTTACCACAGCAACAAAAAGGCATCTCAAGCTTCAGGCTATTGGGTTTCCTGAGAGTGAAATGATTTGGCACAGGGCAGGTTGCGCAATAGCAACTTTTTTCAGTGGTCGAGGACACAGTGCCCTCTGGTGCCCATACTGTGTAAGTGCACAAGCACGTCATCTTTCCCTCCTAGATTCCCAATTTATGCTAAGGTCTTGGAAGTTCCCCCACCCTTATCTCTTCAGTCCCTGTATGCAACGCAGCTTCTGTGTTCTCCTTACCTCTCCTCGATTTGGGTCCGGGCTGCTCACTACTGCTGACTCCGCCACAGCCGGGTGTTCTGCCAAGGCGTTCTCCACCTCTGTAGGCCCGATGCGGTACCTGGAGAAGCAACTGTTCTGAGCAGACACCAGGGCTACAGAGAACTAAGTCTTACACCTTGTACTTCGAGGGTCACATGGCCACTTGACACCGAGGGTGGAGGTCATAGACAGTCAGACAGTCAAGACTAGTATTTTGGAACCCCCAAATGGAGTTTCTAATATTAAAACTATCTGGCTCAGGTGTTCCTGGGGATGGTCTACTTTGTGCTTCTGATGAGGGAGGTAGAAGAGTGATGGCTCTTTGCAGAGCTCTCGGCGTTTATTCCAAGCAGCTTCCCTCAGCATCAGAGCCATCGAGATCCTCAAATCGTGTCCTAGCAAATGCTGTGTTCTCTTCCCTCATCTCAGTGTGCTATTTTATCTTTTAGATCCCCTTACCTCTTTCCTTCCTTCCTTCCTTCCTTCCTTCCTTCCTTCCTTCCTTCCTTCCTTCCTTCCTTCCTTCCTCTCTCTATTTTTCTCCACAAAACAGGGTCTCACTATGTAGTCCTGGACCTCTGTGTGTAGACTAGGCTAGCCCCAAACCCACAGACAGCAAGTTAGGACTAGCAGTCAAAGAGGATTCTGGGAAATGTAGTAGAGAAGTGCTGACCCAGGCAGGAAGTGACATAGCAAGGAGACTCATATTTAAGCGAAGGAGAAACAGGAAGGGTCCTCTTTTCCCCTCTGCTCCTGCTCCAGCAGCACAATGTGATCCACCGGCAAGGAGGGACGCCAATAAGGCGTCTGATAAGTCTTATAAAATATATAGGTTTATGATAGTTAAGACTGAGCTAACAGATGAGAATCCTAGTCATTGGCCAAGCAGCATTGCACCTAATACAAGTTTCTGTGTATTCATTTGGGCCCTAACTTGGGCGGGCGGCTGGCATAAAGCTAACGTGGCGGTGGGGCTCAGGCGGCTGCTCAGGCGGCTTTTGGCAGAAAGATTTATCTTTCTTCCTTCCTTTCTTTCTTTCTTTCTTTCTTTCTTTCTTTCTTTCTTTCTTTCTTTCTTTCTTTCTGTCCTGGTTCTAGGAATTGAACCTAGGCCCTCACACATGGAAGCCAATGCCTTTATCACTAAAGGGTATCCCCAGGTCCCCTTTACAGTTTTGAGATAGATAGGGTTTTAGTAAGTTGTTTAGGCTGGCCTTGGACTTAGGATTCTTTTGCCGAAGCCTTCTGAATATCTGGGATTATAGGCCTGTGTCACTACACTCTTGGCTCCTCCTCGTAACTATATGTTTTACTCTACCCCTTGAACTTCACTGCAATTAAATCTTTTGTCTACAAGGATGGTGGAAGTGACCAGGCATCCAGGTATTAGCATATCCCAAACATGGCTCTATTCAGGCTGAGGGTCCCATCACCAAGGCATGAGGAATGTCAGGCAGGCAAGGTGCCATGAGGCTTTGAGGGTGTAGAGAGCTAGCCCAGGCCCCACCACACCTACCCAGAAGCATTGATGATTTCGTCACCCCTGCCCAAGAACCAGATGTAGCCATCATCATCAACAGTTGCTTTGTCCCCACTGTTGTAAAAGTCCCCACATTCCACTTCGGCTGTCATCTGCGGGTCATTCTGCAAAGAGAATGAAGTGCCTTTGTTGAAGGTAGTGAAATCAGAGTTGAGCTTGGGGTCACGTCTGGGTTTGAATTCTGCACCTGGAACCTGGACAGGTTCACACACTGGGCTATATCCACCCATGGGTACCATTAGGCTCATATTTAAAACACAGCATCTTGTGTGGAACTCTCTCCCAGATTAAAGTTCCCATTCTAGTGAGAACACTGGCTTTATTCAGCTCAACATGTGCAATGCTGGGGCAGCCGAGGAGGGGCAGCAGCCACGAGTGAGGGGATTCCCTTCGCCAAGTGCTACCTAATCTGATCCTCATGTGAGTCCCATGAAGCAGGTTCTTCATAACATAAGCTTTCCTATGATAACACAGAACAATGCAAAGTAGGAAGAATAATAAGAATATGAAACAATACAAAGAAATCCCATATGTCCTTTAGTTTCCTCCAGTGCTAATGTCTTACAAAGCCATTGTTCAGTTGTTCAATATTCCAATCAGGATACAGGCATTGATCCAACCTCTAATCTCTCTTAGATTTCCTGAGGTTTAATCGTGTGTGTGTGTGTGTGTGTGTGTGTGTGTGTGTGTGTGTGTGATCTCTCTTAGATTTCCTGAGGTTTAATTGTGTGTGTGTGTGTGTGTGTGTGTGTGTGTGTGTGTGGGTGCGTGCGTGTGTGCGCGCGTGCTGTGTGTGGTTTTCTCCCAGGGGGGGTTCTGTGGGTGTGTGTGTGTGTGTGGGTACGTGCGTGTGTGTGCACGTGCACTATGTAGTTTGCTCACAGGCATGGATTCCTCACCCTACCATAGCAGTGCCATTGCCAGGAGGTGCTTCACAAGGCTTTTGTAAGTACTCTCACCCTCCTCTGCTCCACCTTTCTCCCTTTACTAGCTCTAACCCCTTAACAACAGCTCATCTCTAGTTTTTTTTTTTTTCTGGCACATAATAATTGAGTGTATGTGTGGGCAACAAGGTGATAACTCAACACATATATAATGGGTAAAGATCCAATATGGAAAAACAACTAAGTTAAAAAATTCACCAGAAGGTTTAAAAACATATTAAAATGGACAGAAAGAACCAGGGAACTGAAAAATATAGCAGTTGAAAAAAAATAAATTCCCAAGAGAAAAGAAATAAGGTAGCAAAGTGAGCAGAGCCTAAAGCACTTGTAGGACATACCAAATCCACCAAAGATGCACTGTCAGAGCCCCAGAAGGAGGGGAGGGGTTGGGACGATGTTCAAATACAGAAAGGCAGAAAAAGCTTCCAAACTTGAGATAAGTGAAACAAGATGTGTCACATGATCTCATGAATATGAATTTTCTGAAATAGGCAAATACAAAAAGTCGGAAAGGGGCTGAGAGGTAAGCAGACCCTGAGGGTGAGGGGTAGGCTGTGGGTGTTACTGTGCAACGAGTACAGAAGTTCTGTCTAGTGTATATTTTCTAGAGACAGATGATGTGAGGGTTTCACTCTGTCATGAATTCTTTAAATGCCACTAACGTGCACTTTTGAAAATGGAGGAGTGAATTTTATATTCTATTTTACATCAAAACAAACAAACAAACAACAAAAAACCAGGTCTCATTGGAAGAGTCCTTATAGTATGGCCTCCAGGGGGCACTGCTTTATGTGATAGTTACCAAAACAAGTTCATGGCTCTTGGTCTTAATTCTCAGAAACAAAACTCTAAGAGGTAGAAAAGGAAAATTAAAGCACACACATATTATATGATATATATATGATACCTAGGTTTGGGAATCACGGATGTGCATGTATGTGTGATTCTTAGAACTGCCTATTGGAATAACTTGGGATTTATAAAAAAAAACATCCACAGGAATGGCCCTTGAGGCCATGGGGTGAAGACAACCATCGAATCAGGTGAAGAATGTTTGCAGAAAGGAGATGGGGTCTGAGGAGAGTGGCAGTCTGGTCACCCCTCCATGGTCTGTCTTGGGGATCACTTCTAACCAGGATGGCCAGAGTGTGTTTGATAGGGAGCTTCAGCAGGTTTGCTTATAGCTCAACCCAGCTTTTTGCAGTCCTCAATTTCTCACTTAGGTTATGACACCTAAAAGATGCAGACTCTAGACCTGCTGTGCACATTTGGCATGGGCAGGACATGCATCACTTCCAGGTTCCCCTCAGCAAAGGGACGATTGGGCTTATCGGAGGCCCAGTCTGGTGATTCTGAGGTCCATCTTCCTCTTCCCCAATCATTTAGCTCTTAAATCCCAAGTGGGCTAGGTCAGAAGGGCTTTGACAATGTACCGAGAGCCTAGTGTGTAGTTAAAATAGGCTTCTTCGGGATGGAGTGAAGAGAAGATGACTTGAAGAAGTCTTGGGGTGCAAAACAACCTCTATACATTCTTGAGGTAGGATGGGTGAGATGCCATTACCTCATACTCCACAAAGAGACCTAGAGGTCTGGTAGGCTTGATCCTGATGCCAAGGTATCCTTCAGTGTTGGGTGGGAGGATGTTGCCCTTTTCATCGATGATCTGGAACAAGAAGTCTTTGAATCCCACATTGAATGAATTGCTCAGCCCTATGTGCCACTGACTGGCTCACCACAAGAAATTATAGAATAAATGGAAATCAATCATGAAGAAACTGTCAGAAAAGAGAATAAAACTGTCAAATTATTTGAAATCAGTAAATATGGAGCCCAAGACCTGGGGCTCTTTGTTTCATGGGAATGTAGATGTTACTGCTGTGTCTTCAAACTGGAAGGTTACCTGCGGGTATTATTTATTCTTCTTTCCCACACACCATGTGAGCTGCATCTCTCTTCCAGGTGAGCTACATTAGTACCCACAGTAATGCTCTTCCCACCTGAAGCTCCCACAGGAAACCAGGGGAGAACAGGAGGCAGGGAGCAGGGAGACAAGGGGGTGGCTGGTTCTACTATCTGCTGTCACACATGGGTCCAAACCCACCTGAGCTATAAAGCCTTCCCCATCAACACCCTAAGACCAGACCTGGACGTTGAAGGGTAATACAGGCTTTCCCATGGAGCCTATCTTGATCTTCATTTCCCGGAAGACAGCACAGCTTATTCCCTGTTCACAAAAGAAGACCAAGGTTGTATAAAGCAGGGTCACACACATGAACTCTGATAGAGGCCATTTGATTGAGAATAGGATTCAGGCTCAAGGCATTGACTCAACTCTATTCAGTGGACACTTGTTATTCCCAGCATGGCTTGGATCTGTATTACATGTAGGGATGATAGATTCTAGTGACTGAGGAGAAGGTAGACACAAAAGGAGGCTGTGACACATCAGGTGGAGTGTGGAATGCCTACCAGGGATGTGTTGGTTTGCCCACAGGAAGGCTGTGACCATACATATTGTATAGACCATATATATCCACTAAGTTATTGGATAGTGATAGGAATCCTGCTTCAGCAACTTGGGAATAGGTTGAGATGGTTTAGATTTTTATGCCATTTCCTCTGCCAATACCCATTGACCCCACCTGTCTTCCCAGTGAATTTGATTCTTCTATGTAGTTCTTTGTCATTCTATTTTGAGCACTCTGTATTAAATATGCCTGTCTCCTTCTTTGCCAAAAAGAGACAATGGACACACTTATTTCTAGTTGTTCTTGAACATGTATGGGAACCACTACCCCCTTTTTTTCTTGGTGTTTTTTCATTAGTAAATTCTTTTCTTTTCTTTTCTTTTCTTAGTTCAAATTAGGAACAAGCTTGCTCTTGGTGTTTTTTCATTAGTAAATTCTTTTCTTTTCTTAGTTCAAATTAGGAACAAGCTTGCTTCACATGTCAATCCCTTCTCCCTCTCCCTCTCCCTCCCCTCCCCCCAACATCTCACCTGCCACTAGCCATCCCCTCTCCACTCCCCAGGCAGGGTAAGGCCCTCAAAATGGGCTCCCCAAAGTCTACCACATCATCCTGGGCCAGGCCTAGGCCCTTCCCCATGTGTTCAGGTTTCTTGGTGTTTTGAGATAAGGTCTTTTTTATTGTACCTATAGTGAGTTCCAACTGGCCTTGAACTTGTGATTTGCTGCTTAGTCTCTTAAGTGACAGGCTATGGGCACACACAATAACATGACTCTGTGGGGGAACTTTTTACACAGTGTGCGGCACATACCAAACACCCAGTGAAAGACTATTAATAAGTATTATTATTCAGAACCCAAGAAGAGTCCATGGAACATTCTTTTCCTGTGGTATTTTCTCCACACAGTACTTTTGTGCAGTTCAAGTTCACAAGCATTATGACTATTATTTGGTTGTTTGTTTCCCTTTGTGGATAGCAAGAATCCCCAAAGTAGAGACTGTCCATTCACTTATGTACACCTAGAATCTGGCACAATACCTACCTAAAATACACAATGACCATAGTAACTTTGGTGGGAACTATGGGTTTAGTATTGCGGCCAGAACTTAATGTATGTTGAATTATCAATAGTGGCATTATAATAATATCTGCTTCAGAAAGGAGGATTTTAACACTCAGAAAGATTGATCCATAGGCCTATGGTCTTGGTGTTTATAATGGACAGAGCAAAGCTCCTGGGTGAGGAAGTTCTTCACATCTGGTGTCCCATTGTTCTCACTGTAGGTCAGTGAGGCCATCACTGTCACTGTAGGTGAGGGATGGAGGACATTTTGCTCTCACTGTAGGTCAATGAGGCCATCGCTGTCAGTGTAGGTGGGGAAGGGAAGCTGTTGCTTTCATTGTAGGTAAGGGAGAGAGAGGACATCACTCTCACTGTAGGTAAGGGAGGCCATTGCTCTCACTGTAGGTCAGTGAGGGGGGCATGAGTGAGTGGAGAATGTGGCGTACTTGGAGGAAGAAAGCACCATCTGTGCAGAGGGACTGGAGCCACCAGTGAGGCATGTTGCTCTCACCCACCCTTCTCCTTGTCTCTGTGTAAACTGGGAGCCATTCAACTATAGGTCCAGAGTCAGAACAATTTTTCAGGTTGGAAGCAAATCAACTCACTGACTTGTTGGTTTGTCTTGGTAAAAACAGCAGATAAGCACATGAAAAACATCTAAATAGTCAATGTATTATAGGGCATGAAGTGGCAGATGTACCTGCATTAGTTCAAGGGATACTGGGCAGTGGCTCTATCCAGCCATTAGACACTAATGAAAAAGTATTGGAATGGAAGACTAACGAAGTCCTTGAGATTCAGGAGGTGCATGATACCTGACCATCTGCTAGCTCAGTGATACTCTAAGATATCATTAAGTGTGTGCCTGTGTATGTGTGCAGGAGTGTGAATGAGTGCATGTGGCATATACAGAAAGACTTTGCTTCCTCATCTACTACCACTACAGTCTCATAATTTAACCTGGATTGTTCTCCTCAGCATCCAGACATGAACTTTGAAAGTCAGCTCCCAATCACCTCTTCGTGCAGCTACTCTAGAATGTGATGGTGGAATTGGCAGGATATGTGGCAGGAGAGATGATTCTTTCCACACTCCACCCCCCCACCCCACGAATGTGGTTCCCCTGGGCTAATAATCCCAGGCACAGTGTGAAAGTGTCTTTTTAAGTTTTGCCCAACAGCTTTCAGTTCATTGGTTTCTCAATGAGTTGATAAGCTGTACATTTTCCCCCTGCAAATTTGGGATAAATTATCCCTGAACCTTAAAGCCCTTTATTGGTTTTGAGCGGTGCTGTACACAGAAGACCTTAGCACACACTGGGTCATGGGCGACCCATTGACTGTGCTCTGTAGCTGAGTCCATCAAGATGATGCAGAAGGGGCCTGTTTACCTACCGTTTCTGACTGTCCGTAGACCTCATGAATGAGAAGGCCTGTCCTTTGCTTCCATTGCTTGTATTCCTCAGGCAGTAGGCTCTCCCCACCAGTGCTGCAATGCTCCACAGTGGGGAACCTGAGACTTAGGGGAAGACAAATATGTCAGCCTTGGATGCCTTGCTGGGAATATAAAGCATCAAGAGCTTATGGTTTGTCATTTCAGATCACTCATCTGTCTGCGTGCTCACTTTTAAATCCACCTTCTGTCGTTTTACTGATGGTCCCAGCCAGACGGATGCCGCACTGTTTCCACAAGTCCCCGTTAATATTTCTGACAGGGAGTGAGTGGGTGATGCTGAAGATGTTGGGTCCTATCAATGATGTTTTGGTTATGTTCGGATGTAACAAGGAAACAAGAATACTCATAAGAACTCACACTAGAAAATCTTCCTATGGGTCTAAGAGGGACAACTTTATAGACCATAAGTGGTGAGGGATGAGACCCCAAGGGACACTTGGGTGTAGCAGAGATATACTGCCTTTTGTGAGGGAAGGGCTGTGCTATCTGAGGACATTTTCTATTTCTGTGTGGAGGCTGAAAGTTAGGGTTGGAAAAGGCTTGAGTAGGACATCAAGGCAGGGCCATTTGTAGGAAAATACAGAAAGGTAACAGGAAACAGAATTCGACAGAGACCAGAAATCGAGAGAGGGGGAATTTCAGGGCAGAGCTTTAGGGGAACACTTACATGAGATACAATCTCTATCTCATTTCTCTCTAGAATGCCCCTAGAGGGACTCCACAAAATAATAATTGAATTCTCTGAAGAAAATGGGAGGGAAATGACTGACGTTTTGTTCAGCTGGCTCAGTTTGGAGCCTAGCCTTCTGTTGGGGTTAGGAGAGGTAGTGGAATTGGAGTTTCTAGAATATATGCACATGCCCACAGTTTTCAAAGAAAAGATTTCAAGTTAGCTAAAGACCAACCCCCAAATACCAGGAAGTGAAAAGTAAAACTCCAATAAGACAACACCACACACACACTGGGTTGACAAATATTAACCGACAGGAGAAAATGGTGAAAATGATATGAAATAATGGGAATTCTTCAGTCTTGACAAAGAGCAAAATATGGTTTAATACTTTGGAAAATATTGAAACTGTCTATTGTGACCTAGGTGCCTGTGCCCTAGAAAAACATCAGAAAGCCTATTTTATCTTCATCTGGGTTGTGGTGCCACAGTTAAGTGCAACACTGGTCGCCAATAGCTCCAGGCAAAGGCTACCCACATCTTCATTAGGGTAGGATGATCAAAGAAATTGAGATACTTTCATAAAGCAGGGTATTACGTAGCAATGAAGATAAACTAACCATAAAAATGCACAGCATGAATATATCACACGTACATGATCTTGGAAAAGGAAGCCAGAGGCCACAGGATTGTATTGTATAAATAAAAGTTAAAAAGCATGAAAAGCAGACCCATTTTCTCAGGAATATTTCCTTAGTTGCTATCAAGGAAAACAGAGGACTGATCACCAAGAAAACAGACAGTGGTTTTATTTAGGGGACACAGGAGGCACATTGATGTATCTGAGGCATTGACAAAGTTCTATTTTTCTGACTCAGGCATGTGATTGCATAGGTATTTTCAATTGTTCATTAACCTGTACATTTTCAACATAGGCAGTTTTGTATTTTTGTTTTTGTTTTGTCACAAATAATATACCTACACATGTGAAGTGAACAAACCTATACAGGGCTGGGTCTTGAACTAACCAATTAGACTGATAATTATTACTAAATACACACACACACACACACACACACACACACACACACACACACACACACACACACCACTAAAAAATAAATAGAGGAAAACCAAACCATGGCACATCAGATTTTTTAAAATCCTAACCAAAGATTTCTATTATCAGTCAATGAATGCTACATACTTGGCAATTTTCTGCTGAAGAATCATTCGATACACGGCTGGTGCTGCAAGGCATTGAGTGATGGGGTATTTGAACAGTACCTGGAAATGAAGAGATTGGGAATTTTATTTTTGAAGCTAAGGTTAAAAACATCAGCCCATTATCATCCATTAGGTTATGACCTCTCTTCCATGAAAGTCTACTTATTTTTGTGTGAATTCCTTTACTACATGCACACTAGGCATGGATTTCATACATGACATGTGTCAGGTACTTTTGGGAGCAAATGCAAAAAAGAGTGAAGTAACATGCTAGACAATAGAAATGGTATATCCTAACAGAGGAGATGAAAAAAAAACATGCGTGATAAGGTTTTTGGTAGATGTCATTAGGGAAATATAGAGTTCTGTCAAGTACATAGCGGAGGGCAATAGATTGGGTGGGTACTCCAAGGAACTCATGGAGGAGATGGCATTTAGTAGGGCATTTATGAAATGAACACGGTGTCTACAGAGAGGTGGAGTTGCTCATGAAATGAGGACAGAGAATTCATAGGATAAAGTCTCAGGAGCTGAACAAACAATTCTCTCTCTTTCTTTCTCTCTCTCTCTCTCTCTCTCTCTCTCTCTCTGTGTGTGTGTGTGTGTGTGTGTGTGTGTGTGTTATAGATATTCTATTTGGACTGATTGGAAAGTCACAGTATTTCATTCTTTGTACTTTTACCAATTGTGAGTGTCTGTATTGATGGCCCCTACAGTCATGCATACATCGGCTGTACTAATTGGACTGGATGGGTTAAAAAAAAAAAGAGTACACATGGTTGGGAGACAGAAGTGGTGAAAGACATTGAAGGAATTGGAAGGTAGGCAGCAGGAGCTGGATTTGACCAAACTACATTATGTACATGTATGATGTTATCAAACAACAAATAAAAGTATATTTCAAAGCTTTCTTAAAAAGGAAGCTAAGGTTACGACTGGTGACTAACATGCCAATTGCTATCAAAGGTGGAGTAAGAAGCTGGTCTTGTCATATTATAAGGGCTTAATTTTGACACTTTGTTGTAAGAAGTAACATCCCTACCCCATTCCCCACACCTGCTAGTTGGCCCTAGCAGGGCCGGAGCCAGAGATTTGGGCTTATCTTTCTTGCTTTAGTTTCTCAACATGCATATTATGGGGTTCCTACCCACAATATCTGATCTATAGATCCATGGAATAGCTAAAAAGATGTGTTTTATTCTAGCTCACATTGTGATCCTGATACTGTGACTCTGATTCAGTGTCCCACTTGGTGAGATGCTCAAGACCAGGATTGCTTTAATTACTCAGCCTTCTTGGGTTTACCTGAGTCTTTCTCAGATGGGCCCAGCTTTGGGGAACATGCATATCCTCTGAGAGGTTTCAATTCTGGGAAGTTGGTCTTCTTACCTCTACAATGACATTAGGGTCGAACTGAGGAAGGTGGTGGATGAATACTGTAGATCCTGATGCCCATGGTTCTATCAGGCACCCCACGGTAGCCAAAATCCATCCTGGGTCAGACATACACCACAAGATGTCAGATGTCTTCAGGCCAAACACTTTCCTGCTAACTCCAAAAGACAATGGTCTCAGCTGTGCCACCAAGGAGGCATGTTGGGGGCTTGGAGCAATCCAGGTGAGGAACCACCACTCTCCCTCATTTCACATGATTTGTGTTGGGGCTCCAGAGCACCACAGGTGCCCCTCCATGTCATGCTTCCAGGACACCGAGACTAATTCTCTGCTAATGAATGACCCATCAGACCTTCACTAGAAAAGTTGGGGCAGAGTCTTCTGCTGCCTTGCTGGGTCTGAACCAGTCACTGATATAACACTTGGTGATTCTGGAAGCATCTATATGGCACAGTGACAGTGGTGGTATGGCACAATGAAAACCTAATGTAAACAGAACAGTTTGAAGCCTAACCCTGGACTACTCTAGCTATTACTCTTTGGCTTAGTGCTTGGTTTGGGCTTTCCATCCTTTGCAACGAGGAGGCAATTAGTCAAAGGGCAATGACAAGGAGATGAAGAGGAGGGGTTCTCGTTTGTCTGCCTGCTCTTGCTTCTGTTCCAGCTAATAAGTCAAAGAGCAGTGCTCAGTCTGTTCTAAATACTATGAGGAAGCAGGAAGGGGTGGAGACAGTCGGTTTAAGACTTTTGAAATGATTCACCAAAGCTTAGTTTGAGCCTCCATGTATTTTTGTTCAAAGTCAGAGCTGGTGAACTATTGGAGCTAGGTTCCAGGCATTCCATTAGTGAGAAATGCCATGTCTGTTTTTCCCATACTAGTGAAAGGAGTGGACTCACAAGACAAGCATCTGTTACCCACTGTCAGAGACACAATGTTTTGTTACTTGCATAGCTTACAGAATACCCACCCCCGATGAGAGTGCTCAACAAAATCCAAAGGAGTCCCTTGTGTCACCCTGGGTCTATGTCAGCTAGCATTCAAAATCCCAGACTTTCATCTCCCAGACCCTCTGAGGTCGAACCAGAGAACAAGATGGGGACACTTCCATTCAGAATGCCATCTCCTCAACATGCCCATGTGCACACACCCCTTGCTTTATAGCTGGACCCAAGCTTCTAAATAGGTGCTCTTTCCCTACCATGAAGGGATACAGGACCGGAAGGCAAGTCCCTGGTCATGCTTTGCCATCTTGGGGAAACCTGTGGTCCCACTGGTGAAGAAGATGGCCAAGGGATCCTTCATCTTTGACTTAATACAGGTGTGGTTTGGGGATACTGATCTGCAAAGAGAGTTAAGGCAAAAGAAGAAAAATCACACTGTTGTTTTCCCATCTTCTGATGGAGCAACATGAAGCATTGAGTGGGGAACCTGAAAATCTGCAAGGCTGGAGGACAAACTGGTGTTACCACTGGCAGGCATCAGCCTGACTGTGGGGTGACTTGGACAACTGGGCTGGTGTGTTTTTAGTTGAAAAATGAGAAGAATGTACGGACTAAGAAGTTACAGAACACTTAGCTAGCACTGTCTATACTGCAGCTCATTCTAAGTGAGTCAGGAATGGGGACTCATTCAGTGCTCCCAACAGGGAACTGTGTCCCTTCTGTCTCTTGGTTCTTGGGGCATCTTCCTAATGGATCTTCCTTCTCTGATTGTAAAGCCAATCTGTCTATTTTATTTGTTTTAATCCGAAAATAACCTTAATGTTGAGGAAACACCAGCACTGCTGTCTGTGCTAATTAAGACAGGGGACCACATTGACTCTGGGTAATCTGAATGATTTCCCAAACATTTTCTTGGTTTTAAACTGTTTTCAGTAATGTCTCTGGTTTTGTGAGAGGTCATTTCCTTTTACTATTGAAACAAATGGCTTTTAAACATGGAAGTGTTACTCCCAAGAAGCAAGCCTCACATGGTTCCTGCTGTGCTGTGAGTATTGTGGAATACATCTGAATGCTCCCAGGAGGTTTTCCTGGGATGAAAGGAGTCTTTCTCTAGTCCTACCTAAAGGCTTGCTGGTAAGGTGTCCCTAGTGGTACCCAGGAGAGGGAGAGTCTTTGCCCCTAAAGCTGCTGTCCCACTGTCCCATTGCAATTAGAAATTCAGTTTCTTATTCTTATTCTTGTTTTTGAGAAATGATTTCACTGTGTAACCCTGGCTGTCCTGGAACATGCTATGTAGATCAGTCTGATTGAACCCACAGAGATCCACCTGCCCCAGACTGCTAAACACTCAAAGTCGTGCAATACCCACCAAGTTCAAGTTGTTTTGAAGCTTCACATTTTACCTCAGAAATTTATTTTCATTGAACTCCTTCATATATGTGTTAATACACACATATGTATGTACGTGTGTATGTATGTATGTATGTATGTATGTATGTATGTATGTATGTATGTATGTATAAGGGTTACCTATCTACACAGAATATGCAACACACTTGTCCCTGACTTTATAATCCTCCTTTGCTTGGCCTCATGGATGAGTGTACATTAATGACAAAACATGTAAGTTCAATATCCTGATTTTACAAAGCACCAAGGGCCAAGAAAACCAAGGGAAGAGAAGCAAGAAGCCCAGGGTTTCATAGCAGGTGGATGGCATGGCTAGGAAGAGAGTTTCTAGTATCCAGTCCTTTGGGCTTCCTGTACTAGTTACTTGTCTCCCAGTGTTTGGGCATAGATGGTCTCCTTCCTTAGTCTATATTCAGAAACTGAGATTATCAGACCAGAAACTCACTTAATTAGTGACTGGAAGTTGAGCCACCCTTCATGGCTATGATCAGACACCACCAGCTTGGTTTTCAGGGCAGGACACTCAGAAGCCACAGAGTCCACCTCTGGGACAAGACTTCCTGTGGTCACAATGGCTTTGGCTTGAGACCTTTGTAGTCGATAGAGGATATCCTTGGCTTTCAGCTGGATAGTCCCAGGCATGAAGACAATCCCTGGGGGTGAGAAAGGATGGTTTGCTATCACATCCACAGACTTAGGCCTGGCTCATCAGCTGAAAATTCCCACAATACCATGAAAACTATGATCCACAGACCACCAGTCTCCACACCATGGAGAATACAGAATCTTACATCCTGTGCCAAATCTGCTCAGTTAGAATCTGAACCTTAATAAGATCTCCAACTAATTTCTCTGAACATAAAGATTATAGGCTCTTCCTTATTCCTTTCTAGAGGAGTCCAAACAGAGGATAGATGGATCCTGGTTTGCACACACTTAGGACATATCAGGTAATAGTACCTGTGAGGACTATTATTGATGCTTAGGACTGGCTGCTGCATCTCAGTACTCCCTGCCCCATTTCCTCTTCCTCCCCATTAGTCTCTTGAAGTCATCTTGAATGTCTTTTGTTCCTTTTACTTCAAATTTAGCCACATTGTCCAGTGAACATTCCTATGTTCTCTTTATCAATACCAACACAGCCACTTCCAGTGAGTTCAAACCTGGTTGTTCTACTGAAATCACATCCTCCTTAGACACCCTTCTGCACCTCAAATCCACAAAGCACAGGCCATTTCCCTCCACATTTCTTCTCTGCATGAACATCTGTGCCTTCTCTTTCTATGGAGGTACCCTACTCCCTATTTTGACATTGAAGTCCATTCTTTATCTTCCCTTCTTTCTCTTTATTTTCCTCTTTCAAAATGGCTGTGTGCGTACATGCATGTGTGTGTACATGTGTGTGTACATGTGGAAGTATATGTGTGCATAAATGTGTGTGCATGTATGCATATGTTCATGTGGGGTTGGGGGTGGGCCTGCATGTGTGAGCCCATGTGTGTGTGTGCACATTTTCCTGCATGTGTATGTTTGCACAAGCACACTAGCCCTGACTAGTGAGTAGTCTTTGCATGAGGGGAACCCATTATTGGACCACCTTTCTTTGCTTCTAACCTTTTTAATTCTCACATCAGAGGACTCAGCTATAGTTTTGGGCTTCTCACTAGCCATGTCTTAGTTCTATTGATGCATAGTTTTTCTTTTCTATATTATCTCTGCCTTTGATATTAATTCTTGATCCTGTATTACATTCTGCTAGATAATGAAAGAGACAGAAGAATAGGGAAAGGAAAAAGGGGAGAAAGAAAACATTTTACAGGAATATACATGAGGAGATGAGAAAGGTGATTGCAAGAAGAGCATCCGTGTGTCCTGCCAGTCTGCATATGGAGTATCCCCCTAAAGGCTCATATGTTGTAGGCTTCATCCTCAGCTGGTAGAGCCAGTGTTAAAAGGCATTTGGATCACAAGGGCTGTGAGCTAATCAATGATTAATGTATAGATGGACCATAATAAAATGAACTGTTGGGAGGTGGTGGTGGGGGTGGGTCTTTGTTGAAATAAGTCATTGAAGGTTATCTTGTTCCTGGTTTCTTCCAGACTCTGTGTTTTGCTTCCTGGATACATGAGGTGGAATACTTTGTTCCAGCACATTAGCCCATAATTATTTGCCTCACCTTGGGCAGCAATGGAACCAGGCAGCCATGAGTGAAATCATGAGACAAGGACATTTCTACCTTTAACTTGATGTTTCCGCAACTATTGGTAACAACAATGAAAGTCTAAAATACAAAGCCCCATGTGGATTCTGAATTATACATAAATATGGATAAGTAATTTAAAAGGAAGGGAAATCTTTACATGAAATTTTAATTAATAACTTGTAGATGATATGATACAAATGAAAACTCTGCCCATAAGCCTACCATAGTAGTATTCAGTACAGTTAAGAGCTATGGATGCAGAGCCAAACCATATAAAAGCCTCCTGGGGAAAGATTCACATCATCATCATCATGCAAAAGGGACCAGGTAAATAGTGCCTGGCTTGATGATGAAATATTCATCACAGATGCTGGAGGATGTCCACTCCACAGGTACTCTAACCTAGTTTTGTAGGATTGCCGTTAAATGCAGTTAAGCTGAAGAGAACTACAAAGAAAGAATCTTCACTCCAAAAAGTGAGCTGCATTCTGCCAAATAACTGGCTTGGATGCTTCAAAAATGTTGCCATGCAGAAAAGTCTGAAACATTGTAGATTAAAGGGGGTGGAGGAGATCTGAGAACTACATAAAATGCACAATTCAGTACTGGATTTAAAGAGAAGTTGGCTCTGAAAGATATTATTGTTTGGATAATAGAAGAATGTTGGCTACAAATGTGCATGGGTAACTGTAGTGCACTGATGTTAGCCTCTGGGTTGTAACTCCTCTTTGAGTTTGTGAAGAGAACTTCTTTGGTTTTAGTAGATTTTTATGCTCCTGTGCTCATGGGTACTTACCTGGTGCTTGTAGGTCTCATAATATCTACAACAGATTCCTGAAAGAGGAAGGGTGGGGTGCATAATATTAAGTTTAGAGCATATTAACGCCAGTGTGTCAGGTAAAGAGAAAGTGTGAGAGTATATGCGAGTGGGAGAAAGAGATAGACCTAAGGAAATGTTTTGTCTCCAACTGAGGTGTCCATCCTCAGAGGGAGGCAAGGAGTCTTCCTCTATCCCAGCCCTCAGGTCCAATGAGTTCCACATGAATCACTGACCTGTTCGAAAGCAGCCCACTGTCACCAGCCACCACTCGGGCACTCGAGGCAGAATCAAGGCCAGGCGATCTCCCTGCTGCAGGCCACAAGTCTGCTCAAAGACATTGGCAGCACGGCGGGTGGAAGCTCCACTTTATTTCATCTCCTTGGCCATTCACCCACCATAGGGCTGGACCTGGGCCTCTCTTGCCCTCCTAGTTAAGATTACATACCAAGTGTCACTTCCTGCTTCCAAGGAAAAGGACAATCTACTTCCATAGCCATTTTCCAGTGTGAGCCTAGCACAGTGAGATCTTATCTTAAGACATTAACAGACTCCAGAGAAGTAAGAAATTAGACTGGGTACTACCCTGAATCACTTATGACCCTGAATACCCTTCAAGCTTCCCACTGAAGACGAACAAATCCCCTTCTTCATATGTCTGTTCTAGGTTCATATAGACCAGTGGTTCTCAACCTGTGGGTCATGAGCATTGGAAAATACATATTTTTGGTGGTCTTAGGAACTGAGACACTGTTCAGTAGCAAAATTACAGTTATGAAGTAGCAACAAGAATAAATTTATGGTTGGGGGTTCCTAAGATCATTGGAAATATAAGCTTTCTGATGGTTGCTACCCACAGGCTGAGAACTGATATAGACAGGGTTCTTCTCTTCATTACAGTTTTCCCATCTATGAAATGGGGACAACAATATTTTCTAAATAACTTTAGATAAGTAAACCATATTAACCATGTTTAGCACAAAGTAGTTTCCCAACAAAACAGTATTGTAACAAAAGAAAAGAGGCTAAAGTAGTTGCTAAATGTTTAGGTAATCTTTTAAAATTAAGGTATTACTAGAGGTTAGGGAGGATGCATGTCCTTGTTTGCTCACAGAAACATCAAATAAATAATAAAAAATTGATCAAAGTAGCTTTGTGAGAACTCTAGAACCCAGTGAAGAGTCTGTAACAATTTAGCAGCTGCCCACAGTTAAAGCCACACACCGGATGTGGGGCATTTTGTGGCATTCTTTCTTGCTCTTGCTCCTGAGCCTGTGGTGTGCCAACAATTTAGCAGCTGCCCACAGTTAAAGCCACACACTGGATATTAGGCATTTTGTGGCATTCTTTCTTGCTCTTGCTCCTGAGCCTGTGGTGTGCTGTGGCACAATCAAGGGGAAACCATCCCATCCTGGCTCATGGAAAAGATTGGAACTTGTTTGCAGTGTCCTAGCCAGTGTCAAGAGACACTGGGCAAACTGCTTTGTCTCCTGCCTGATCTGAAGGTCACAGGGGAACAGCATCATAGTTTGACTCTTCAGTTGACTATCTCTGTACCACCAGCACAGTCTATGGTGTGTAAAAACTTGTGGGCACCAAGGGCCAAAAAGTTATGGAGGAAGGAACTCAACAGAATTGTCAAGGCCCTGAGAAGAAGCACATGTAAATTCCTAAAAGGAAGTGGGGTTAGGAACATTGGCCACATAAATGTGAAAATTGGCACAGTGTAGGGGACACACAAATAGGACCAGGGAAGACAAATTCAGAAAGGCTTGAGATGAAATTAAGCCCCAACCTGACCACATTTGTGACGGTCTTCACCTACATGAGTTAGTGTATATGACTGGAAAAAAATGGGTTTCCCCCAACTTGCCAAAGTTTCAACCAACAACACAGCATACAAAAGAATAGAGATGCTGCCTAGTCAAAGGGACAAAATAGATCCCCAAAAACAGAAGCCCAGGCTGAATGGACTTTAGTTATTAGACAAAGATATTTTTAACATCTGTGCCAAATTTTCTCAAACAGTTAAAGAAAAACCCAAAGATGAAAAGAAGAACAGAAACACTCCAAATGAATCAAATGCCAGTATCAATAGAGGAGTAACCTTCTAAAAGAGAGATAAGTTAAATTCTAGGACCAAAAACATAGTTATTGAATGGGCATGTGCTAGGGCTTCAACAGGAGATGCAAACAGGTAGAAGAAAGAATGAAAAGATAAATATAGGTCATTTGAAATTGAAGAGAAAAAATGAAGAAAACTGTAGTTTCCAGACCCATATACATATTCTGGGAATTTCAGTGGGAGACAGCCATTCAGCTTGTTGGAAGAGACAATAGCCCCAAACTGCTGGGTATGAGAAAAGATGAGTGTCATCTAATACAAACAGCTCAACAACTCCAGGAGAAGCCCAAAGAGACCTGTGTGAATTGTAATTCAAATGCTAAGGCCAGAATCATGGAAGTGATCTTGAGTGCCCAAAAGCAAAGTAACTCATTGTGTTCAAGAAACCTTCAAGGAGACTGCCAGTCAAGTTCTCAGTAGACCTTTTGCAAGGTGGGAGGAGATGAGATCATATATTTGAAGTGCTGAGAGAGAGAAAATAACAGCAATAACCACCAATTACTTAACATTTCTTTTCAAATGTGAGGGAGAAATTAAGATATTCACAGACAATTCAAACTGGAGGGAATTTATCACCACCAGACTTGCCTTACAAAAATTGAGGCTGGCTTTCATGGCATACACCTTTAATCCCAGCAGATGCAGACAGCTCTCTGTGAGTTTGAGGCCAGTCTGGTCTACAGAGCTAGTTCCAGGACAGCTAGGACTGTTACACAGAAAAACCCTGTCTCAAAAAATAAACAAAAAACCAAAACAAAAAAAGAAATTACCTTGAAATGAGAGGAACTGGAAATTAACAAACATGAAAACACAATGTTTTCTTATAAATATGGTGACATGTATGAATATGATACCATTATTGTTATACTTTTGGCTTGTAACTCCACTATTATTTAAAATAACTTAATACAATTATTTAGTCATTTGTGGGTGCATCTGTGTGTGTGTGCATGAGTGTGTGCACATGTGTGTGTGCCTGCAGGTGTATGCTTATGGACATCCATGCCACAGCATGCGTGCAAATACCAGAGGACAACTTTTGGAGTTGATGCTCTCCTTCTGCCAGGTGGCCCCTGAGGAGTGTTGTCAGGCCTGGCAGCAGCAAGTACCCTTACCTGCTGAACCATCTCACTGGCCTCTACTTTTATTCTCTAGTTATATTTAAAAGACAATGATAAGCCCACATTAAAGTGTACATTGTGAGAAGATAGAAGTTGTGACATCGGGATCGTAAAGTTGGGGTTGAATGGAATAGGGCTGTGGAGGAGGAGGCTTTCTTTCTTAGGTGACTGAGGATAAACTGTTGAAGTTAAAAATAGACTCTTGTTGCTACAGAATATTATATGCAATCCTCATGGTAAGCACAAGGAAAATATCTCTAGAATACATGCAAGGGGAAATGAAAAAAGAAAATCACACATGTTGCCATGGAAACTCAATATAAAGTAATGGGATAGATTGAAGAAAGAAACAGAAAATGGCAGGAAAAATGAAGTGTTATCTATCTCATTTACTGTCTTATCGCCTCGTTGGGCACTCATCACATCTTATTTCTATGAATAAACTAATCAGTGAAGTGTATAAGAGACAGAATGGAAACAAGTTGATGTGAGTGTGATCTCAGAAATATATTTGGGGACTGTTTCAGGACTTATTAATATATATATATTATGTATATATACATATACTAACTATATATATATATATATGTATATATATATATATTTTA